CCCCCCCCCCCCCCCCCCCCCCCACACACACATAGTGTCGCGCACACACACACACACACACACACACACAGCGTCATACGTCTGTTGTGGAGTGGTGGATCGCGAACACACAGACCCACAACCTCCCTCTCCTACCTGTCCAAAGTCGTTAGCGCCCCAAGTGTACAGATCTCCGTCGGAAGTGACAGCAGCGGTGTGCTGGAGACCGCATGCCACGTGTACCAAATATATAGGAGGACGACGCTTCGAATCAGCTAGCCGTTCCAGTGGAACAGCTTTAGGAGTGCGCTGGCACCGCCAAGTGCGCGGATCCCCACTCACACCAGCATCATGGCTAGTTTGCCCCTGGACATTGTACCCCCACACATACAGCTTGCTCTGATTGGGGCGCCGAGGGATAACCTCCTCCTCCTCCTCTAACCCCAAGATGTCCTTCGCCATCCTCAAAAGTCTTCAAATATATTATGTACTTAGTATTTCGGCGTTGATGGTCGTTGTTGAATGATGATCTAGCAAGTATGAAGGACAGCGCGGCGACAGTGACAAGGGTGCACAGTTGTTGCGCAGCAGTCCTGTTATGGCTATGGCTATGGCTATGGCTATTATGACTATGCCTATTATGGCTATAGCTCCAGCGACAACCTTCTTTAGCTATTATACATGACAGGATGCTGGATGTGCTTGCTATGATAGCCGTTATGGTGGCTATGATGCTGGCTATGGTTGTACAGCTACATTGCTAGTGCTATTTCATCATTCTACAACTACTGTAGTCACGCCAAATGTCATCACCCGCTAAATTGCTATGATGCTGGTTATGGGGATACGGTGTATTCAGTCCTCATGGGCGTGAGGTATATAGCAAGGACGGTGCGGAGTGTGATGGGGAGTGTGATGATGGGGAGTGTGATGACATTTGGCGGGTGAATGGAGCAGGGAAGATGGCGCGCGAAGTCGGCACTCGATAAGGTGCACGTCGCCCTCCTTCGCCTTTGCGTCCTCCGCCCTTCCGCCCTCCCGCCCGGCCGCAAGGCCGCACCTGCCCACGCAACCCCCCACGATCCCCACGCCCTCTTCCCCCCCCCCCCCCCCCCCTTTGCCCTTGTCCTCTCCCCCCCCACGCACAATCCCCTTCTTCTTCTTTCCTGCCGTTGGAGAGTGGCGGGCAATACCACTGCGTCACTCTCCGACGGGGGCTAGGTCCCACTTACACGAGTTAAGAGATATTGACCGTAGATAGCACAGATCTAACGGTCAGAATCTCGTAATCCGTGCAAGTGGGACCTTGCCCCGGGTGGTCGTTTTCACTTGCCGAACGTTCCAGAACCTGTCTTCCGCTCCCGCCATTTTCGTTTTCCTTGCGTTTCGTTTCGTATTCGTCAAGACCACTTGCGCGCCTTTTTCATTTCCTTGCCGTCGATCTAGATAATCTCGACGGCGGCAAAATGAAAATGGAGCAGGGGTGGGACCCGGCCCCGGGAGTTGCCCAAAAACGACCTGGACCGGGACTTGGTTTAAAGCTGTCCTGGTTCAAATCTGGCTGGCCCTGGTTCAGGAAAAGCGGGGAGCGATGACTCTCGGCATGGACTGCGCTGCCAGCCATTGAGCCAAACGCGGTGCGCAGCCTGAGGCAAGTGGTGTTCGCAACCCTGGAAGACATTTTTCATCGTCGTCGGTATACCTGTCCTTCATTCCGGCTGGTTGGTCGTTGGAAGGCTCCAAAAATGCAGGCACGTGCAGGCAGTGCAGGCAGGTCACTTTAGGGGCTAGTGGCAGCTAGTGGCAGTTTCTTTTGGACTGGTAGCTGCTCGTGGGACCGTGCACGCGCACTGGGTTGGCGCAGGCCGCGGTCCTTGAGCGGTCCTTGAGCTGCGAATTTCAAAAAGGAAAGGGCGCGGGGGCGGGGGCGGGGGCGGAAAAGGCCAGGCAGGTCACTTTAGGGGCTACTGGCAGCTAGTGGCAGTTTCTTTTGGACCGGTAGCTGCTCGTGGGACCGTGCATGCGCATTGGGTTGCCGCAGGCCGCGGTCCTTGAGCGGTCCTTGAGCTGCGAATTTCAAAAAGGAAAGGGCCGGGGGCAGGGGCGGGAAAGGCCAAAACGACGCTTGCCACAGATGTGTCTAAATGTGGACGCATTCAGCGCCCCATTCAGACACATTTGTGCCCCGGTGTTCTGCGTGCCATCTCAATCACTTGGGTGCCATCTCTCTCTCTCTCTCTCTCTCTCTCTCTCTCTCCCACCCCGCCTAAGGGGTCAACCATATACAAACTACGGGCTGCGCACCACACCCGTGCCCTCACGGTAAGTCAATGAGGCCGACAGTATTTTGCTAGAATAGCAATCAGGCCCATGTTCTGTTCTACCACTGGTCCATTTTTTTTATTTTTTATTTTTTCTATTCGTGGGAAGCAACACGTGCTGGGAACCGGGCTCCCTAGCCAACAGACAAGACATAAGCAAGGCTCATGAGTTGCAGAAAGCAACGACATACATCCATACAGACTATGATATTACACTAGCTCACATAACAACCAGCATATTCAATTATCTACCGCGTGGGCGGGGGGAACGCAGCCCTAAGGTAGCCAAATCAATGAGATTAAGAGCTAACACAAGAGAGAGAGAGAGAGAGAGAGAGAGAGAGAGAGAGAGAGAGAGAGAGTTTTGTTCCATTTATTGTTATAAGTGTGAGAG